CCTTTCCTTGGCCCTCCTTTGGGTACTCCCCTCACTGGGCCACCGAGAACTGCTTCTGCCTGTGCAGCTTGCCACATATTTACGGTTGCCAGATAAAATACAGGATGCTCAGTAATGTGTGAATTTCAGATAAACAGCGAATTATTTTTCAGTATGTGTATATCCCAGATATTGCATGGGACCAGATATTACATGGGGCATGCTTATCTAAAAGATTATTCATTGTTTATCAGAGTTCATATGTAACTGAGCATCCAGTGTTTTTATTTGCTGTAATTTCTTATTTTTATTTGCTAAATCTGGCAACTCCACACATAATGCCGGCTACCTGCAACTACTTTCAGTTTCCCAAAGGGTAAACCCCTGGGCTTTCTGGCCCATAAAATAGCTGATTATTGGATTTTTACTTTTTAGTCTGGCTCTTTTATACTTAAAGAACAATTCTAAAGTAAACCCCTGTGTAACCACCCCCCCCAGGTGAAGAAACATAGCAGAACGATGCCAGTACCTTAGAGCCGTCTGTGGTTCTTTCCTATATCGGCATCCTCCTCCCTCCCTGGAGGGGTAACCACTGGCTTTTTCATCATTCTCTGGCATCTCTTTAGGTTTGCCACCTGTGTAAGCATGCATAACGATATACCTCCTTTTGACTACCTTTGATAGTTTCTTTGTGACTTGTTTCTTTCACCCAACCTTGTGCTTGTGAGGTTTATCCATGTTTTTGAGTGCCGCTGTGCTTCCTTACTTCTCATTGCTGCACAGTGTTCCAAAATGTGATCATACCCACGATTATCCATCCATTGTACTGTTGTGCGGTTGATGGTACAGTTTTAACTTAAGTTGAAAATTTTAGAATGTTTTAAATTTATTGCAGGAAACTAAAATAACTACCATAAAATAGTTTCATACCGTTTAGGGAAATTTCTAACACTTAGTACTCCTCTGAAAATTTTTGTTGCTATATTCAATAATCGGGCAAAGTTTAGAGGCTTATATAAAATGGTTCTCATTTATATTCACAAATTGTTTTTTATTGTGGTATAATAGACATATAGTAAAATGCACAAATCTTAAATATATAGCTTGATGAATTTTTACGTATGTATATACCTGTGTAACCATCACCCAGATCAAGATCTAGAACGTTTCCAGCATCCTTTTACTATGACTGTCTTGCAGCTCTTTTATTTCCTGTTGCTACCTACAAGATAGCTGTCTGTCTAAATTTTTGGACACGCCCAATACAAGTCTGTATGATGTTGGGTTTTGGGCTTTCAGGTGCACCACATGGTGAGTCTGCACACTGCTAAGTGGTTCCTTTAGAGAAGGGCTCAAGCCATTCGATTTCCAAAAGGAAAAGTGACAATACAGATGCTGATGGGGCTAACAAAGTAGATGAACTAATGTTTCTATTAAATAAAAAAATATTTATCTTCCAAAAGGAGGATTTAAGATCAGGCAGATAGTAACATCACATGTCTTTATAGTTAAATTGAACATATAACTCTCTGCTTGTGTATTTATCATATAAAGAAAAAATTGACTTATTGCAAATATTATCACCCACTAGCTGTAAAATGCCTTGAACCTGGTAATGTGTAGAAAGCATAAGAATAAAGTTACATGCAAGCAATTTATTCAAAACTTTGAACTTACTGATATATTTTTTATTACTATACTGTATTCTGTATACTACTCTGTATTCTGACCACAAATTGCTGTGATTCCCCTCAGAATTACGCCACTCTCTAATGGCTACATAACAGCAATGTCTCTTAAAATATACCCAGTGGCACAGTGGTTAAGTCTGTACCCTCCACTTCAGCGGCCCAGGGTTCACCTGTTTGGATCCCGGGTCCAGACAAGGCACCACTTGGCAAGCCATGCTGTGGCAGGCATCCCACATATAAAGTAGAGGAAAATGAGCATGAATGTTAGCTTAGGGCCAGTCTTCCTCAGCAAAAAGAAGGGGATTGGCTCAGGGCTAATCTGCCTAAAATATATATATATATATATATATATATATATATATATATATACTCTGAAATTTATTTATTTATTTACATTTTAATTGCAGTAACATTGGATTATAACATTATATAGCTTTTGGATGTACATCACAATATATTTTGAATTCTGTGTAGATTACATCCTGTTCACCACCTCAAAATTAATTATAGTCCATCCCCTCACATGTCAGCCTAATCACCCCTTTTGCCCTCCCCTCCTTTCCCTATGGCAACCAGCAATCCAATCTCCATTGCTATGTGTTTGTTTGTCATTGCTTTTATCTTCTACTTATGAGTGAGGTCATACGGTATTTGACTTTCTCCCTCTGACTAAATTCACTCAGCAGAATACCCTCAAGGACCATCCATGTTGTCAGAAATGGCCATGTTTCATCATTTCTTATGGCTGAGTAGTATTCCATTGTGTATAAATACCACATCTTCTTTATCCATTCATCCCTTGATGGGCACCTAGGTTGCTCCCAAGTCTTGGCTATTGTGTATAATGCTGCAATGAACATAGGGGTGCATGCATCTTTATGCTTTTGTATTTTCAAGTTCTTTGGATAAATACCCTGCAGCAGAATAGCTGGATCATATGGTAGATCTATTCTTAATTTTCTGAGGATACTCCATACTGCTTTCCATAGTGGCTGCACCAGTTTGCACTCCCACCAGCAGCGTACAAGGGTTCCCTTCTCTCCACATACTCTCCAACATTTGTTGTTTCCTGTCTTGTTAATTATAGCCATTCTGACCAGAGGGAGGTGATACCTCCTTGTAATTTTGATTTGCATGTCCCTGATAACTAATGATGTTGAGAATATTTTCGTATGCCTGTTTGCCATCTGTGTATCTTCTTTGGAGAAATCTCTGTTCAGATCTTTTGCCCATGTTTTAATTGGATTGTTGGTTTTCTTGTTGAGCTGTATGAGTTCTTTGTATATTTTGGATACTAACCCCTTATCTGATATATGGTTTGCAAATATCTTCTCAATAAAGGAATACAGTCAAGTCGCAGGAAACAAAATCAATGTACAAAAATTAGCTGCGTTTGTACATACTAACAATGAAGCAGAAGAAAGAGAAATTAAGAATGCAACCCCAGTTACAATTGCAACCAAAAGAATAAAATACCTAGGAATAAACTTAACCAAAGAGGTGAAAGATCTGTACACCGAAAACTATAAAACATTGATGAAAGAACTCAAAGAAGACACATAGAAATGGAAAGATATTCCATGCTCTTGGATTTGAAGAATCAACGTCATTAAAATGTCCATACTCCTTAAAGCAATCTGTAGATTCAATGCAATCCCTATCAAAGTTCCAACAACATTTTTCACAGAAATAGAACAAAGAATCCTAAAATTTATATGGAACAACAAAAGGCCCTGAATAGCCAAAGAACACCTGAGAAAAAAGAACAAAGCTGGAGGTATCACACTTCCTGATTTCAAAATATACTACAAAGCTACAGTAACCAAAACAGCATGGTACTGGCACAAAAACAGACACACACATCAAGGGAACAGAATCGAGAGCCCAGAAATAAGCCCACACATTTATGGACAGCTAATATTCGACAAGGGAGCCAAGAGAATACCATGGAGAAAAGAGAGTCTCTTCAATAAATGGTGTTGGGAAAACTGGACAGCCACATGCAAAAGAATGAAAGCAGACCATTCCCTTACACCATGCACAAAAATCAACTCAAAATGGATTAAAGGCTTGAATGTAAGACCTGAAACCATGAAACTTCTAGAAGAAAACATAGGCAGTACGATCTTTGACGTCGGTCTTAGCAGCATATTTTCAAGTCCCACGTCTGTCCGGGCAAGGGAAACTAAAGAAAAAATGAACAAGTGGGACTACGTCAAACTAAAAAGCTTCTGCACAGCAAAGGAAACCATCTGCAATTTCTGAATGCTCACTAGAGATATGTTGTTCAGATAGATCTCTCCAGTATTTTACATTTTCAGCATGGGAAGAAAAGAGAACTCAAGCACTGAGAGTTTTAGTGAATATTAAGGAAAAGTATTCACATGTTAAATGAAATGATTTTGTGTGCACATACAATACATGTTGAAGAGTAAGAAAGGGAAGAAGAAAATGGATGGGCACTAAACAATGTTTTATTTCTATAAATGTGGAGCTTATAATTGAGAATCTCTTGCAGGAAAGATTCCAGGTCAAGATGTAGGCTGTGACACATGATTAATCCCCACTCTCTCACCTCCCACTGAAATTCCAACACAGATACTTTTCAAAATCACAGAACTATATCTGTAGAAAACGATTACAGTCTCGTCAGTGTGCCAGAAATTTTGAGGACTACCTGGAAAATAGAAAGCAAATGGGTTGAAATTTCCTGCAAAAATCAAAAGAGAAGAAATTGCATCTCAGGACACCAAAGCCAAGCCAGGTTCTTTCTAGGAAGCCTCAGATAAGCTCCAGGCTCAGCATCAGCAAATTCAAAGGGAGGAGCTGGCTATGGAGCAACCATCAGTGGAGTTCCCTCAAGATGCTTCCTCATGAGAGTATTTGGGCCTGAGAGGAAAAACCAAAGTCAGACTTGTAGTAATGTCAGAATTTGGACCAAAAAAGCATTAAAACAAGATACTTTATAATATTACAGGGGGAATTTGCAATGAAGGTATAAAATCTCTGCACCAAATAACATAGCATCAATATCGATAAAGCAACAACTGTAGGAGATGCAAGGAGAAACAGAAACCCACGAGAGATGGAGCCTTCAGTTCACCTCTCTCAATCTATTTTAGAGCAAGTAGACAAAAGTAAGAAAATAGAAGAAAGTGCAGTAATGTCTTCAAAGGTGTAGGGAAAGACTTTTTGAATTTAGCCTTATTGTTAATTAAGCATCAGGATAAAATGAAGACATCTGGAAATTAAAAAGTTACCATTCAGTCTCCCCACGAGAAAACAATTATTTGAAGTTCTTCAGGCCAAAAACGGGAAACCAAGACATCAGATTGTACATAATGGTGGCAACTAAGTACAACCAGAGAAAATAAAAGAAAAATTTAAGCAGCAAACTTTTAATGTTTGAATGCCTTCAGTTTCCTTCTAAATTAGTTCAATCGCAATGCTTGGTTTGCGGTGAATAATACTTATGTAATCTTAATATTGTACATGCCGTCTATTGGTTTTCACTTTTGGGTGTCAAACAATGTCAAAAGCACAGAAGATTTAATAATTATATTACAGAACAGCAAGTAAATCTCATAAAGCTTGGCAATTTAAAGATTACGTGGCAGGGTATTATCTCAGCCAACAAATTCAAGTGTATAAGAAATATCACTTTATTTTCTACATTTCAGTTTAATTTCCGCCTCTGGGAAATATTCCCTTTCTCCCTCTACCTCCCTCATAAGACCTGCTTGATGGGAAATGTAACCACAGATATTCCTGGGCTTTCTCTGCCCCCCCGGGGTCCCACCAAGGTTTGCAGTTGCCAAATCATCAGAGAGAAGGGGCCCCCCAGGCTTCAGTGATCTGCACACCCGGGGAACCGGGAGCCTCCATGAATGACTCCTTGCAGCGCAGCAGATCTCTGCTCCATCGGGGCTCCACGCGCAGCATGGGAGTCTCAGCTGAGGTTGGAACCCTGTGCTAGGGTCCTGCTTTCCCCAAATAGCTGACACCACTACTTTTTCCGAGGTTAGCCCCTCCTCGGGCTCCACCATGGAGCAGTGTTTGTTTCCCACGTAGCTTCTCAGCACCACTCTGGCCCTCGCGGACCTCCGACGGGGCAGCCTCTCCTTCCCCTGCTCCTCCAGGGCCCCTGCGTCCTCCTGAACGTCGTGTGCTCCTCGCTGAGCTCAGGTGTGCGGACAAGTAAAACAGGCAAACATTTGACTGGCTAACTCTGCCCTCCTCCCTGCCCTGTCCCTCTCCTGAGGCAATAAAATTCACAGCATGTTATTGCTTGAATGGAAAAATGGAAAAGGGGAAACAGGAATTAAGATCACACAGTATTTTTCAGACAATATTAATGTAACTAAGAACAATAGGGAGGTAACTAGAGAGAAGAGGAGTAGAAGGGTAGTGTTCTTGCCTTTCATTGTGGATACTGAATCCATAGTAAATTTGATAAATCAAGAATTAAACATTTATATATGCTATTTAGAGTAAATAAGGCAATGACTAGAAAATAAAAATATAAACAATATAATCCAGAGGTGGGAGGGTAGATAAATCATGATAAATTCTTAGTCCCTCAGAGTGGAATGTCAATAGATTCTGTATAAACTTGATAAAACTTGAAGAAATATGATATAAAACTAAACTAAAAACTAGTAACAGAGGTGATTTCAGGGAAATGAGTTAGGGGCTAGGGAGAAGAGGAGAAAACTGGGAAGAGGAGGGAGACTTTGTTTTCTTCATTTTAAGCTTTTTTATTTTAATTTTTTTAATGACACAATCCTTTTCTAACAAAAATTAGGTTAGTTAAAAATAAATGACTATTTTAACACACCGCCTCATCAACATTTATAAGACATATTTAATAAAGAATTCACACATTAAAATGTGCCTATGGGCACTAGGCCTTTACTTTAAAAATTCACTATTAAATTCCTTCCTATATTAGGAAGACCTGCTAAAAAATCCACACTGAAAAACAAACCCCCTTAGCTTCATACAGATAAACAAATAATTTAGCCAAAAAGAAATACTTGAGAAACGATTAGAAGGAAACACTAACAAAAATTAGCAAGAGTGACAAGGCAATGGTAATGAGCATGCCATCTTTCAAAAGAAAAAATCATTCAAAATATTTCTTTATCGGAGTCGCAAAAAAAATCATGTCCTCTGGTACAGTAAAACCACTTTAAAGATATATTCCAGCACCCTGCTCCATTCCATCACAGTTCCTGTATGTAATCTCTATCAGTGCACACCACACTATATATTTATTCCTGAGATCTAAACTTCATGTAAAAATACACATCATCCTGAATAAGAGAGAGTGCACAACGGCACAGTCAAGCACACAGACTCAGCGCCCTCTTCACAGTCTACTTTCCTTCAGAAGGTGGGCAAGTTCCTTTACCTCCAGCTCTTGTTTTTCTCCTCTGCCAATATGAAACTTCCAAATCGAAGTCTTATGAGGCCTTCCACATATGCCAAGAAGGAACCCAGCTACCAGGCAAAGAAGTCCAAGAGAGACGAAATGGAGAATCTGCTGGGGAAGGAAAGACTAACCAAAGGGAGAGAATGGCCCCACTTGATAGTCAGCAACAGGGTCCACAAAGATGAGCAAGACGGCCGTGGATTCTCTCACTCTAGTGGGAGAATGAGAAGAGAGAATTAGAAAGGGGATCAATACCCATCCCAGCCAGTGCCTGGCCCTTTGAGCCAACCCAGCTGAGAACACAGACATGAAACACAGATGACTTGTTCCACTGAGATCTGCCCAAATTCCTGACCCATTGAATCAAGAGCAAATAAAATGGTGGTTGTTGTATGCTGCAAATTTTGGGGTAATCTGCTACACAGGAATTAGTAACGCATATAGTCCCCTTTGTGTATTCTCATTCATGATACTGTTTGTGTTTTCTTTTTTTGATCAATCTTGCTAGAGTTTTATCTATTTTAATTTTTTCAAAGAATGAAGTTTTAACTTTGTCGATTTTCTTATTGTATCTTTACTTTCTATTTCACTGGTTTGTGTACTTTCTTTTACTATCTTTCTATTTTCTTTGACTTTACTCAGTTATTATTTTTCTAATTTCTTAAGAGGGACACATATTAATTTTAAGATTTTCTTCTTTTCTAACATAAGCATTTAAAATTTCTTTTAAAGTTTCTTTCAAAATTTCTTTCAAAGCACCTATTTTGCTATATCCCACTAGTCTTGATTTGCTTTTTCATTATCTTTTGGTTTTAGACATTTACATTTTCCATCATAAGTTTCATCTTAAACCCAGAAGTTACTAAACAGGGATTTTAAATTTATTTTTTGCTTTTAATTTCCAACTTTCTTGAGTCTATGCAGTTTGTTGGAGTTTTCTTCATGGCCTAGTGTGTGATCATTTGTAACTCCTCCATATGTGCTCAAGGAAAATATGTGTTCTCTGATTATTGAGTGTCCATTCGCTCAAGTTGGTTAGTTCTTTTGTTGAATCTTCTTTATATCATTGCTGAATTCTGTCTGTTTGGTCAATCAGTGCTGAGAGAGGTGTGTTGAATCACTCACGATAACGGCGGATTCATCAATTTTTCTCTGTAGTTCTGTAGATTTTTGCTTCATCAATCGTGAGCCTATTTTATTAGATCCATACATGTTTAAAATTGCTCTAGCTTGGTGAATAGAATGTTTTATCATTGCACCATGACCCTCTCTGTTCCTAACAATGTGCCAGCTTTCTTTTGGAAAACTGCTTGGCAATTTCTTATAAAGTTAAGCATACCCAGAATGACCCAGAAATACCACATCTATATTTCCCCAAGAGAAATAAAACAGGCCCACAAAAAAGACTTGTACAAGAATGTTTATAGCAACTATTGACCTGAAACAGCCAGCCAGTTATTTCTCCAGCAAAACTGGGTTTATGGGGGACCAAGAATTGCAATTCAATGTCTGAAACCATCGCGAGCCAGGTGCAAGTCGCTAGCAGCATGGAGGAGAAACTCTTTTCTAGGCGGAAGAGGAAGTTGGGACGGCCGTTGTGAACAGGGAGTCCAGATGTGTAGCAGCGTTTCACTAGCTGAGTTGTGATAGTCTCTCATTGGCTGAGCTTCTTGGTCAAGAAGAAGTCTGTCTTCTTCCTGTTGGGCTCTGCTAGGAGGTAGGGTGTGAGAGCTCCGCCTTTGGGCCCCAAGACTCCAATTTAATGAAGTTTCTATTTATTAATTTCCACACAACTTTATTCATAATAGCTAAAAACGGAAACAATCCAGATGTCCAGCAATGGGTGAATGGGTAGACAAAGTATTCGATGGAATACTTTTCAGCAATGAAATCCAACTCCTGATCACACAACAGTAGGGATGGATCTGGAAAGCATGGTTAGAGAAAGAAGGCCCACCTGGGAGAGGACCTACCCCCTTTATGTGTGTGGTGATGGAAATCAGAGCAGAGGTTGGCTGCCTAACAGTGGGCGCCTGGAAAGGGGATGAGGGAACTCTCTGATGGAAATGCTGTTTCCCGATTGGGTGGTGCTTACACAGCTGTTTACGTTTAGCAAAACTCATCAAATCACACACTAAAAGATCAATCCTTTCCACGGTATTTAAATTTTACCTCAATAAAAACCGGATGGGAAAAAAAAAGCCTGGCGATGTTGGCAAGTAACGCTAAGCGATGTAAGGAGAAATCTGAGGTAGTAAACCCTTTTTAAAAAATATTAAGTGAAGAAAACGTTCCAATAAGCTGTGCTGGATTTGTGTGACTAAATAAGGACGTTAAAAAGCCCGGCAAACAGAGTCCCTTCTGCTCCGAGGAGCGCTTTCATTCTCCTCCGATGCTGGGGCCCTGGAGCTCCGGGCGGATTAGGGACCGCACCGCCTCACCTGCGCCCCGGCCCCGGCCCTCAGCCAGAATCGGTTGGACCCGCCCATCCTTTGAACCGTGCGTTCACCTTTCAATCAATTCGAATAGCACAGGGAGAGAACCAATCGCAAGCCTCGTGGGAGAGAAGGGGCGGGCCCCTTTCCCGCAGGGGTTGCTCAAAGGCCCTCCAATCAGAGGCTGGGTGTGGGAAGTTCGGATTCTGGGCGGCTCAGGTGTAGGCGGCACTGCTCCGAGGCGGCGGTGGCTCTCCAGACAGGGAGCGTTCCTTTCCTTTTGGTTTGACAGAGGTTTCACGCTACAGGCTGCCTGAGGAAGGTGGGTGCTGGGAGCTGGAAGAAGGGCGCTGGCTCGCCTCCTCCTAGAAGGTCTGGAAGGGTCTGAGATGGGCAGCGGCGAGCTGGACGCCGCTTGGGGGAGGCTCCTCTAGGACCACTTCCCGCAGCCGACGGCTCCGTCCTCCAGAAGAGTAAATATTTGTTGCCATAATCTATACAATAGTCAGCGTTTCACCACTGGGCCGTGATTGGCCTCTGGGGCAGGACGATGCTTAGGATCCTTGGCCCCGACCTTCAATTCCAGTAGCTGCTCCCAGAGCAAGCAACAACAAAACCCGCCCTGGTTGCGAACCTCTAGGCAAGCAAGACAAGGCATTCTAGACTTTCAAGCTGTAAGAAACTCCACTCAGCCAAAAGGGGCACTTAGATGTCCTGTATGTGAAGAGCCAGGCTGAGGGCTTGAGATCCCAGCTCCAGCGCCTGTTGGCTGTGCTCACGTGGGCAGTTCTCTCCCTCACCTGTGTAACAGCGATGATACTAACCACCTGTTCGGGTTTAGGTGACAATTAAACACGCCTTTACTATTAACTCGAGCTTTTGCACACACCCTGTCTCTCTTTGTGGTGCATAGTGCTATGCAGTATTTTAAAATAACTAATGGTTTATTGTCTCTTTAACATTTAGCACATTAATACTTGCAGGAGGTGGCAAGTCAAATAGTAGAGGAGCATGCTTACTGAAAAGTGGAGTCCTTTGTCACTTCCCCTGGGCTCTTACAGGAGAATGTTATTAGCATCCAGGTCAGAAGAATTCTCATTTTTTATATACTCTGTTGATTGCTTAAAATCACGTAACATTTTAATTGGTTGCATTTCTTGTGCAGATTTTTCTTTGATCTGGAGTTTTCTAGTGGACTGTCTCAGTTATTCTTGTTGTTGAAGAGTCTAGTTTGCTTAGAACTTTTTTATCTTCCTATTGGCAGACCGTCCCCTTTTTCTTTCTTTCTTTTTTTCTTTTGAGCCAGCAACACTTGTGGAGAATCAGTCATCTTTCTCCCATTGGGCTTGGTTGTTTTCTATACCAGCTGCATAGGTGACTCCCTTAGACTTTCCACTTTCCTTTATTCTTTTCCTCACTTGAATGAAGGATTTCCTGGAACACATGGCATCCTGTTTCTTGTCCTTCTCCCTTGTTTTGCTTGAACACGTTCTCAAGAATCTTTCTAAGAAAAGAGTATGGGCCAGGTAAACAATATGATTTCTTACATGGCTGAAAATAATTTCATTATGCCCTCAAACGGCAGACTGTATGGTTATCCTTCTGTATCACCATGGCAGTTCTTCTAAAAACCCATCTTGTGCTCAATCTTGTATATCCAACTGCCTGCTTATCATCCCTGTCTGTCTAATAGGCATCTTGTGTGTTCGGTTTGTTTTGTTTTTTGGCTTGAGAAAAAATGCCAGGCTCCTGCCTTCATCACCAGGGAAAGGTTAGGAAACGATTCTGTATACTGTCCTTCACTTACTTTCCCTATCCTTTCCTTTCCTTCACTCTTGTCACTTTGTAGTGCTGTGCGGTGAGCCTAGAGCCTCTTGTTTGTGTTATGGCCCATAGCTTCCTGGGCTTCACTTCATCTGTCAAGCAAGGCCCTATGTAGAAGCCCAAAACAGATCGTACTATCTTTTGATAACTTTCTTCCCACACTGCAGTGTCACATATTTATTCCATTTTGTACTGAAAATTTTTTATTTCAGAATGCTCTGAGGTGGGGCAGGAGGTGAACTGGAATCTTAATTTTTTAAATAATATGAAAATCTATATAAGTTGTCTACCTTTCTTTTCCCTGGCAGGATGGCTGCATCACATTTTGCCAGTCAACTGAGAAAGGATTTAAGTATTGAGATGATTAGAACTAAAATTGCTGAGGAGAGATTTCTCGCTCAGAAAGCAGACAGATATGATAAATATGAACGAAAAAGACGCTCTGGTTTGACGGATGTCAACCTTCCAACCTTGGAAGGTAGAAATCTTGAATCAGAGGAGACATCTCAAGAGCCTATTCCAGAAGAGATGAGTGTGAGGCAAAGTAAGTAAAGAGCTATTGTAATTTTAACTGCTTTGAAGTGGGGGAAAAGTTGGCTTAATACCTGAGGTTAAAAAATCCTTGACCAGGGGCCAGCTGGGTGGTCTGGTGGCTAGGTTCACATACTCTGCTTCCGCGGCCCGGGGTTTGTGGGTTCGGATCCTGGGCGTGGACCTACATACTGCTCATCAAGCCTGTGGCAGCATCCAGCAAACAAAATAGAGGAAGATTTGGCAACAGATGTTACCTCAGGGACAATCTTCCACATCAAAAAAAAAAAAAACAAAAAACTTACCAGAAGAATGGAGTTTTGAAATACCATTCTAAATAACTTGATATTTTCTATGACTAAATACTTCCTATTTAAGGTAAAGGCTGTGAAAGTTCCATTCACTTGTGGAGTGTTGTAACGCTTTAGGATTCCTGTAGGACAATATGGATAATAAAGTTCTGACTTCTGGAGTTTGAATAAGATAAGTGTTGACGAGATTAATTGATAAGGGACATTAAAATAGAAGTTTTGTAGCTAAATCAGGTCTCAAGTTGTTTAAATGTTCACTGCTTCAATTTTGTCATTTTCCAGGACCAGTGAAATATGCAGCCCAAGGGCCTTCTTTACAGGGAGATGAGCTTTACTCTGAGTGACATGAGAAGCCATTATTGGATTAGTGTGTTTATAATCTGATTTATGTTTTAAAGCATCACTTATTGATGGTAGGGTGACCAGCATGTCCTCCAGGAGACCAGCTAGGAGACAACTGCAATAATTTAGCTCATGGTTGACCACAGTGGGAACGGCAACCCTGGGTGGTTTCATTCTGGTTATATTTTGAAGTTTGAACCAATAGGATTTCCTAATGGAGTGGATGTAGGTTGATAAAGAAAAGTCAGCATCGTTCTAAGAGTTTTTGGCCTGAGCAACTAAAAAAATGGAGTGGCCATTTACTAAGTTGTAAAATACTGAGAGAAGAACTTGCCATCTATAGATGGCAAGTCAGGGTACTGTCTAGTATGGTCTGATGACATGAAATATAAAGCTGGGCTGTTTTAGTGAAGAGGAAGAAATAATTGAGAAACAGCAATGAGGGACCACCCCCCACCCCGGCCCGCTTCAGGCCCAGTGATATGACCTTTGTGGGAGAAGAAAACAGTCAACCACTTGAGAGGACAACTAGGGGAGCGTTGTCTTCAGGGGAGAGCCAGGTTACGGTTAGATCAAGAGATGAAGGGAACAGGAACTTCAGGGAAGTTGAGGATATAGGGGTTTCATTGATGATTAACCACTTCATCATCTGAGCTTTCGCATCTTCTGTTCTCTGCCTGGATTATTTCTTTTAAACAACTTTATTGAGGTAGAATTTGCATACCATAAAATTCACCCATTTAAGTAAATGCCTTTTGTTTAGTAAATTTACTGAGTTGTGCAGTCATCTCCCTGGATTATTTTAAACCCTCACCCAGTGGGCAAACGCACTCTCATTCTTCAGAAACCTTCTCGGGTATTCTCTCTTCTGGCAAGCCTTTCCTGACCTCCCCAGACAGGTTTATACTGATTCTCGATTGTGCATTCTTGTAGTCTTCATTCCATGCTAAACCAAATTGAAACTGTGCTCATCTCACCCACGATACTGTGAGCCCTTCAGGGGCAGAAATTCTCTTATTCTTACTTCCTAAAAATGTCTGGTACATGGTAGCTGATGCGGGATCGGTGAGCCGAGGAGTCGAAAGAAAGATTTCTTAGACTCTCAAGATCTGGCAGTAGTGCTCTTTTATTTAGAGAATAGTGTGGAATAGCATGGGGACAGGACCCATGGGCAGGCAGAGCTTCTGCTGCTGCTGCTGCTGCTGCCCCCGCTGGCATGGGGACAGGACCCATGGGCAGGCAGAGCTGGTGTGTGGGGACAAGACCCACGGGCAGTCAGAGCTCCTGCTGCTGCCCCCGCTGGCATGGGGACAGGTCCCATGGACAGGCAGAGCTAGTGTGTGGGGACAAGACCCACAGGCAGTCAGAGCTCCTGCTGCTGCTGCTGCTGCTGCCCCCGCTGGCATGGGGACAGGACCCATGGGCAGGCAGAGCTGGTGCGTGGGGACAGGACCCACGGGCAGTCAGAGCTCCTGCTGCTGCCGCTGCTACTGTCCCCGCTGGCATGGGGACAGGACCCATGGGCAGGCAGAGCTGGTGCATGGGGACAGGACCCACGGGCAGTCAGAGCTCCTGCTGCTGCCGCTGCTGCTGCCCCCGCTGGCATGGGGACAGGACCCATGGGCAGGCAGAGCTGGTGCGTGGGGACAGGACCCACGGGCAGTCAGAGCTCCTGCTGCTGCCCTGAGTTGAGGGTTAGGGCTAATTTTATAAGGCATGGGTACGTGACTTATTTTTACTGGAAAAAAAAAGAAAAGATGATGTAAAAAGTCATTAGATGATTTCAGTGCAGATGGGGTCTGGTTATTGTGCGGTCATATAACTTTAGATACGAATCTGGCCATATAGATCGGCATGCAGGTGAGGATGCCCCAGGCTTCTCTCCCTGGGGCGGTCCTAATTCATACCATAAAAAAAGTCCACTGGGTCGTATAGTTTGGCATGTAGGCCAGGTCACCTTGGGCTTCTCTAGCTGGGGCAGCCTTAATCCACATCATAAACCCCCCCTGAACCCATTTGGCCCCAAAATCTTTTGGGGATATGGACGACGGTCAGTCTTCTGTAACTACTTCCGGCTGTACAAGGTCGTAGAGCTGTCCCTAAATGGGGCCATAGGTATAGGTAGGAAGTTCAGTGGACCGGAAGGCTGCACCCGTGAAGTCCAAGCCTGACAAGGTGTACACATCCTCTGGAGACGAGAGAATCATTTGACAAGAGGTGGTCTAGGAGGTGAAACTTTGTTGGCATGCAGAAGACAAACAATGAAACAGACAACAAATTATAATAGGAAATACTAGCAATATGATTAACCCAATGAATAAGATTTTGGTAGTAGTCTAGAAACTGGTCCAGGCGTTCAACCAGTCATTTAGAGATAGGGGAGGGTCAGACATGGACTTAATTTGGTGGCTCATATCAGATAGGAAGCCGGTGATATTTTGATGGTAGTCAGGAATATAGACACAACATTCAGTTTTTATAATGGCACAGGTGCCTCCCTGTGCTGCTGTCAAGACATCCAGTGCCATTCAGTTTTGGAGGACTGCCTTACGCATTTGGGACACTTCTAAATCAAGCAGCAAAAGGCTATGTTGTGTATCATTTTTATGCTTTCATAGTAAATTTGTTTAGAGCTTCCATGGGCCAGATGACACTTTCGATTCCTAACTGGGGAAGGAAAATTGAGGCAACGTGGTCATACCAGTGGAAGACAGAGCAGGTCCAGCGCTGTTGCAGGTTGGGTAGGTTAGCAGGAGGAGATATAGTAAATGTAGTTCTACCTTGCATCCAGACAAAGCCTAGAGTGCATCGTCCAATCCATCCAGGTGGCAGCCAAGGCCATAAGTTGGAGCCACATAGCCACTGAGTGCCATTAGGGGCTAACCAACGTGTGCTTGGTCGTCTATCCCAGTCAGTCCCAAACCAATCAGTATTTTTTAAGCTTATGATATGAGAACACATATGACGGGGAATCTGTCCCATAGGTCGGGTGCTATTAGGCCACGTATCACAGGTGTGATTGGTTTGTTCCCAACATATAGTGGCCTTTTGACTGAGTTGACCACTAGTAGGAGTGAGCCAAATATATTCGTCCCAAATTTGATATAGTCCATCCTGTGTGTATCAATAAATTGGGGACTTTACCTTTGGAACTTGTCGTTTATGATCCACCTGTGACAAGGCAAATCTAGTTAGTATTTGGGCAGTAGTATTGAAGGAAAAGGTTTTATTGTGGCCAGGGAACTCCCAGGTATCAGAGATGGATGGCCACAAGAAAACATTATGATTAGTAACAGATGAATCTTGCGGAAGAGAAGAGCTAGAATCTAATATCCATGAATGTGTACTATACCTTCTACTGAAACATAATTTTTTCTCTCTAAAATCACCCTCATTTTTATAAAAGATAGCCAAATTAAGATTAACTGGTCTGCCAATTATTTACATAAGTGCAGCAAGAATACCAATTGATTATACAGGCTTTTTAAATCTGCTTTGCTGGAATTTTTATGAGGAATCTCAGATTGAACCGTAAAGGCCTCTCGGGGCCAGAAAAGCCAAGCCAAGGACTTGCCATCAGATTTTGCCTGCAGTACCTACAGGTTTGGGTGGACTCCTCTCTTCTCAAGGTCCCCCAAAATATTCTGAGGTTCCTTGCACCCGCCAGATAAGCAAGCTTCCTTACTTACCGGGTAAGATTGCCAGAATCTCTGTAAACAAGGTACCAGGCCCATGTTTCCAAGTGGCTGTATTCCAGAATGTCCAATCTTTGTTCCTGAAAAGCTGTGTTGTCATATCTGAGCCTGTATATTTCAAATATGACATTCCAGTCAAAGCCTTGGTAATATAACCAATGTATCCTGTTATAAGGAGAATAGGTTCTTATTGAACTTATGCAAATAACTATATTGCCACGAAATAACCATGCTCACTCACAGAGTTTCTTAATTCTGGAGGGATCAGATAGGGAGAAAAAGATAAATGTTTCAGTTTTGCTCATAAACGTATTTCACTAAATTGCTGTAAGTCATAGTTAGCATAAGAGAAAAGAAAGAAAGATTTCCTTAAACATGAGAAAACAAAACAAAACATCAAAACTCAGCAATATTTCAAACAGAAGTCATAAAAAATTATAATCATCCTCATCAGTTCACACAGTCCTGTATAATCAGTTCTTGAGCTTAATCTTCTGTTAGCAGGTCTATGAGCTTAGTTTCTGTTAGAATTCTGTAATTTCTTACCCGGTTCAGTTTTACAATCTGAAAGTTTATCAGAAACCTATAGTTTAGAACCTTTGTCATAATCCTTTCCAGGAATTTCTCTGAAGACGAAACATTTGCAAAAGCAAAAAGCATCACAGTAAAACAACTATCTGCAAATGGACAAAGGACTCAAAAGGGCAATTGACAAAGAAACTTGGCTATTTCTGTGACATATAACACTTTAAGATAATAACTGGAATTATGACTGATAATCAGAACAGATTAGAATTTTAGGAATGCTATATAATGTTAAGACATGTATATTAATAATATTCACCCACGTAATACCACATAAGAAAGTTTATCATCGCTTATTTGACAATGCTTCCCATGTAATTTAATAAACCAAATAAACCTAATTAATTTAGTATTTTTCCTCCTTATAAGGAAGAGAGCAAATTTCTTTGAGAAGTCTCAGGGGCCCTCTGAAAATCCTCAGAGAAATTCTTCTTCCATCTACCAGGTCAAAAGAAAGCCTTCATTCAGGATTTGAATATTTTTTTTGAGGGAGAAGCTTGTCCAAAATATCAAAAGTTTTTAAAATGCTTGTTCAAATAGGAAACAATGATCACTGTTAAACAATGCTCAGGCATCCATTCAAAGTGACAACAGAGACAGTCAAGAGCAAACAACATCGTCAAAAAATTTTAGAAGAGACCTCTTTCTTTCTGAATATAGGAAATTATTTTAACAAAACATAGATTTTCTGTCTATGTTGTTCTAACTCTATTAGAGCAGGCCAAAAGTTCAAGAAAATTATGCTTTGAGAGGAAACCAAATTTTAATTTCTGTACCAGCTTATTTTTAACATTAAAACTCATTCACTTAATTGGATTTACTCTAATTTTAGTCTACTTGACCAGGCATAAAACTCCTTTCAGAATTTCTCCTTCACAAACCTTCTACAACTTTCTTTTTGCCTTCAGAACTTGTCCCAAAGTCTGTCTTTTTTCCTTTCTAGTACTTTAGGACAAACTTATCTTTCTTAACCCATCAAACAAAAATACTTCCATTCTTTATACCCTCTTTACTGAAAACATACATTTTAACCTTCCTTGAATACAGAGTTTTCCTTATTAATTTCCAGTAGCTTTAATTATATAGGTTAATAAGAACTTTTAACCCTTAACAGACCATAGTAAACACTAAAAAGGTAAGCAATTACGAATTGTCTTTTATACCAGCATTCTAAACACTTCATAATTTCTAGAAACACGCTGCTTTACAATAACAGACCCAAAGACTTTTAGCCTCTCTGCAATAAGAAGCCAAAAGTAGATAACTTAGATAAGTTTAGCTGTAATGCTTGTGTGCTATCCAATCCAAAAATGACCCAGATGCTCAGATTTTTATCATTTAACTTAACTTGGCAAAACTCAAGATTGTTATCAAAACAATTTGGAAGCTGTTTTTTTTTTTTTTCAAGTATGCAGACCATAAAACAGTTATTGTACCCACAAAAACTTCATGAGACATTAGACAAAACTGGTCATCATTTAAAGCTATTATTTTGCTGACGAATTTAACAGACAATGTGAACTTATTTGACTAGTAAACCCAGGCTGCATGCCTGCATCATATGCGAATACTGACAACTCTGACAAGAAGACTATTTTCAATCAAACCAACAAACTTAAACAAGCTTTCATTTACCAAAAGTTAATTCACATCAAGTTAACTTGAAAGACATTGGATTAATTTCTACTACATTTAGAATTTATGTAAGCGCTTACTTGAAGCCAATTAAACAGAGCTCTTAATTTTGGTAACACCATCCGGAGGTAAAATATCACACATATAACGTACACATAGACACACGTACACAGAGACTGC